CATATAGTTTGATCTCAGAGCAGAAAACCTAACCTGAGGAACTAATCAATACTGCAGAGAAAAGGCACCATACGATGATGTGGGTAACTAACAATTCCTCACAAATTTAATTGGATGGTTAAAATTTATAACCATATTTAATTGCAAAGGCTGGTCAAACACTCAATCAATTTGAATCTTTCGGAGATGGATTGGGATGCACAAAATCACACGAACAGAGTTAGTTTTTTAAATTGAGACTAATTATGTTGATAGCTTAGTACCAATTCTTTGAGCACATGTTCCTGTTTGGAAAGTTAATTTATGTATCTGTTGCAAATATGCGTATATGACCCTGGATTTTGTAGTCACTGGTGAAGTAATGATGTTTGCTGCTGACCTCAAGGGGACCCATTCAAGTATTCATTTCATTCTGACACCAGCTAAGGGGAATATCTAACAACAGCACGTCAAACAGGCTAAAGTGATCAATCACACTGAAACATAAAATAATAGTAGGAGTAGGCCATTCAGCCCTTCGAGCCTGCTTTGCTATTCAATATGACCATGGCTAATTATCTACTCAGTACCCTCTTCCCACTCTGTTCCCATACCCTTTGATCCTTTCAGCCCTAAGAACTATATCTAACTCCTTTTTGAAAACGTTCAATGTTTTGGCCTCAACCATTTTCTGAACAGAGAATTCCACAGGCTCACCACTCTCTGAATCAAGAAATTTTTCCTAATTTCAGTCCTAAATGGCCCATCCTGTACTCTTAGACTGTGACCTCCAGTTCTGGACTCCCTGCTCATCAGGAACATCCTTTTTGCATTTACCCTGTCTAGTTCTGTTAGAATTTTATAAGTTTCTATGAGATCCCTTTGTTGCACTCTTTCCATAGCCACAACATACTTTCTCATGTAAGGAGACAAAAATTGCACACAATACCCCATGTGTCCCTACAGCAAGACATCCCTGCTCCTTTACTCAAATTCTCTTGTCGTGAGGCCAACATACCATTTGCCTTCTTTGCTGCCTGCCATATCTGAATGCTTACTTTCAGAAACCGGTGTACAAGGACACTCGGGTCTCATTGCATCTCTCCATTCAGATAATAATCTGCCTTCCTGTTTTTGCTTCCAAAATGGATAACCTTACATTTATCAACATTATACGTCATCTGCCATGCATTTGCCCACCCACTGAACTTGTCTAAATTGCACTTGAGCATCTCAGCATCCTCCTCACAATTCACCCTTCCACCAGCTTTGTGCTGTCTGCAAATTTGGAGATATCACATTTAGTTCCCTCATCTAAGTCATTATTGTGTATTGTGAGTAGCTGAGGTCCAAGCACTGATCTCAACGATACCCCACTAATCATTGCCTGTTACTCGGAAAAAGGCCAGTTTATTTCTACTCTTTGTTTCCTGTCTGCTGATCACTTCTCTATCCATGTCATTATGTTACTCCAATCGCACACACTTTTAATTTCTATTCCATTATGGGGAATTTTGCCAAAAGCCTTCTGATAGTTCAAGTAAAACACATCCACTGGCTTCTTCAAATGAATTCTCCCAGTTATTTCCTTGAAAAATTCCAGTAGATTGGTCAAGCATGATTTCCCATTCATAAATCCATACTGACTCTGTCCGATCCCATTTCCAAGTGGTCAGCTATTATAATGGACTCCAGCATGTTCCTTACTACTGATGTCAGGTTAATCAGCCTATAATTGCCTGTTTTCTCTCTATGTACCTTTTTTAGTAGCTACCCTCCAATGTGTAGGAACTCTAGAGTCTATAGAATCTTGAAAAGGTGACCACCAATGTACCCACTATTTCTAGGGCAACTTCCTAAAGTATCCTTGGATGTAGTTTTCCAAGTCCTGGGAATTTAACTGCCTTTAATCCTAAGACCATTTCCCTGCTAATTATCATTTCTTACAGCTCCTCTCACTCACTAGATGCTGTGTTCACCAATATTTTTGAGACATTATTTACAAACTCCTTTGGGAAGACAGAACCAAAATATGTATCTAATTAGTTTGCCATCCTTTTTTTCCCCTCATCATAACTTCCCCTGTTCTTTCTGTAAGGGACCTATATTTGTCTTCACTAATCTTTTTCTCTTCACATATCTATAGAAGCTTATCATATCAGTTACTACATTCCACACAAGCTTACTCTATTCTCCCCCCTCTTAATCAATCCCTTTGTCCTTCTTTACTGAAATCTAAATTGCTCTCAATCCTCATATCTGCTGCATTTTTGACCAATTTATATGCTTCTTCCTTGCATCTAACACTATCTCTAACTCCCCTTGTTAGCCATGGTTGGGCCATCTTTCCCATTAAATTTGTTTGCCACATAGAATGAACATGGTCAGTCTTTTCCAAAGGGCTTCACATAACTGACAACAATTAGCAATCTAGTTATCACATTGAAGAACTCTCACATGTGCAACTAAGAATTTACAAACAAGTGTTTTCTTTCAATTCTTTTATATAATTTTATTCAAAGCAAAAGGAAGATTGGGAAACATAGATGGGATTAAGGTAGAAGTTGAATTATGGTTAACTTTATCAAAGTATTAAAAACTAATGTTTTTCATTAATTTAAAGAAGTGGAGTTATTTTTAAATCATGGAATCGAGAAATTTTACATTGACAAATATAAAATTAGTTTTCCAAGGTCAGATAGATGGTCATAAGTAATTATAACTGAGTAGACTGTTAAAATTGTGGTTACACCTCATTCAACTGGGCACAACTTCTTCAAGCATTTTTACAATGAGAATAATTGCATCGAAAGTATAAATTCACATCGATTCAATAATAGCAAATTGGTTTCCATTTTCAACAAATTCAGCAGCACCCCTAATGGAGGAACAGAAACACATTAACAACACTTTCTGGATTTTCACATTTACCTGCATATTTGTTGATTTCAGAAGTTGTGATACTTCCACAGAGTAATGACAGCGAATGGTGCTAGTTTTTCTATCTTGAGGACTGCAAAATTTAGGCCATTATTGTTGCAAATTCTGATCATGCACAGGTATCTTGTTGAGGTTAGTTACTACCTTAAGCATTGAACATGCTTTAATTTAAAGGAATTGCCCCACCTAATGTCTACTGTGGCAATAGTATAATCCTGAAATATAAGAATTATACCTCTTCGTGACCTGAGCTAATTATTTGTATATTTTACATGTGCCCTCATATAGCTCTCCAATCCTTCCCACTTGTAAGGTTAGACCAAGTTTAAATCATTTTACCTGCTTTATTTTTCACAAACAAGGAGGTCACAGAGCACCAGTTGTAATCCAAACCCATTTATTCCACCCAATTTCACTTTGTTTCCCTTAAGTGTGGAAAATAATAAATACACAACACTCCCTTACCAGGGGATTACCTTGCTTGTTATTTCAAAATGGTCTTATGGTTTCATAGAATGTAAGAATCACATTTTAATTTCTAATTCAGTGCAGAATGTCCTTTCTCTACAGTCTTTTGTTTTCATTCATTAACTGGGAGATGCAGTAAGATCTCCTGAGGTCACAAACTGCGCTATAGAAATGGAAGTTGTCCATTTTCTTCCAGCAGCCTATTTATAATGTGAGTTTTCAGTCGGACTGATGACCTGTTTAGTTCAAGTGAATAAAGGTGGCTCACCAAACATTGGAATATCTACTGGAATGTTTAATTATCTTCCATTGTCCCCACCACAGTGTTGTTATTTCATCTGAATTATAATGCAAATCTCTCAGACCTTCTGTCCTTTGAATTTAACTGTTAGATTTTTAATAGATCATATGTAAAAGTACCCTTACAACAACATAGTTAGAGATCTTCAACTATTACAATTAGATTATCGCTATATCTTTGCATGCCCATCTAATGTTCATTTTGGTTTACAGTGCAAAGCAACATTTGTGATGCCCTGTATTTTTTTCAACGATGTGAGGAATTGCATATATCTGATAGCTAAAGAAGAGAATTCTGTCTTTTTTTCATTATTTGTTGGAATGTGTCATTTCGTACTTGTTGCATCCTTTGTTTCCTTGAAAAGATGGTAATGTGATTTCTTAAATGGTTACTATTCTTCTGACAATGATGATGCTGACTCAATGGAGGGAAATTTCCAGATATTGACCCAGACTAATGATGAAATGGAAAGACATGTCCAAGTAGGATATAGGCACAGTAGAGTGCCAATGATATTGCTGATCTTATCATTCTCAATGATGAAGGTAACAAGTCAAGGCAGTGTTGTTGAAGTAATCCTGGTGAGTTCCTGCAGTGCATCATTCAAATGCACAGCACTAACAGTGGAGAGAGTGAATATTTTGTCCAGTGGCAGGGGTAATCAATTTGTTCTAGATAATGTTGAACTTCTCAAATGCTGTTACAGCTGTAATCATCCAGCCAAGTATTCCATCACACTCTATCTGAACCTTACGGAGGAAAGGGACAGGACATGAGCCTCTCAGTGCAGAACATCCACCCTCTCCCCTGCTGTTATAGTCAGTGTTATAGTCAGGGTGCTGATATACTGCTCCAGTGAATCTTGTTGTCAGTGGTTTGATTTTTGGTCTTTGGCTAAAGAAGTGTAACTTACCAAAGTGTCATTGCAACTGAAAATACTCTAAAAGCCAGAGGTTTAAAAATCTCACAAATGATAGTAACATGAAAGAGAGAAGCTGTAAAGGAGAATGCCAGAAATCACTCCATTCTACAGCATTTGTGGCTAACCAATCATAAGCCATCTTTATCTGTCAGCAAGTGCGTGTTCAGCCATTTTGGTACTTAGACTTGAAACTAATAACATATAAAGTTCTTATATCTTAATTTCAGATTAATTGAGTAAACATGTACAGTACCTGCAGCTCAATTATCAACAGGAAAACATTTATCATTCTTAGTGGAATAACTACTTATTGCCACTGGAGTTAAAATTCTTCTTCCTTCTTCCATGTTATAATGCCTTCTAATGTTTCATTTATTGTTCTTTTTAAAGGTAACACAGTATGATCCTGATGACCATTACCAGGCTGTTACCCCAAATGCTTTTAACACCATCTACATCAACCCAAGGAACTGTGGCCACCCATATTTAGGTATAGTATTTAAAGTTCTGCATTATTTTACAATGACATTAGGTTACAAGCCCATCATTAAATTCGTTTAGTTTAAACATGTTTCTATCCAGTGTTTTCAGATCAATATTTTTCAGCTGGTATTAGTTTGAAGAACAGGTCACTAGAGATGTAGTAGCAGACATTAAAGGGCATATTCCAGAATACACAACAGTTACATTCAAAGCATAACAACATTTCCAAAGGAAGGATTCATTATCTGTGGTTAACTTGAAAAAGTTAAAGATAGTGCTGAAGTAAAAGAAAAAGCATATAATTTTGCAAAGGTAGGTGGTAGACCAGACGGTTGAATAGAATTAAAAAAAGATTATTTGAAAAATTAACAAATTATTAATTACAAAGAACAAAGAAAATTACAGCAAAAAAACAGGCCTTTCTGCCCTCCAAGCCTGCACCAACACGCTGACCATCACAACTAAAACCCCCTACCCTTCTGGGGACCGTAACTCTCTATTCCCATCTTATTCGTATTTGTCAAGACGCCCTTTAAAAGTGACTATCGTATCTCCTTCCACTACCTCCCCCGGCAGCGAAAGTATAAGAGAAGATAGATAGAAATATAAAAGATAGTAAGAATTTCAATAAGTAATTTTAAAAAGAGTTAAAGTGAGTATTGATCTTATAGAAAGTGAGTCAAGAGAACTGATAATGGAAAATAAAGGCATATAAGATGAAACGAGTTTTTGGAGCTCTTTCCTGAAAGGCAAGGAAGCAGTGGCCTAAAATATTTTTGGGTCAGAGGTAAATAAATTCTTCTTAAGCCAGGGAGTGTAGATTTTGGAGTAGGTAGGCATGTTCACCTGTACTTATAATCAGCTCAGCTATGATCTTGTTAAATAGCAGAACACGGTCGAATGGCCAACTCTTACTTGTTTATTTGTTCAGAATCTAAGACTTCACAAGCATTCCTGAAGATTCTGCACAATTTTCAGGTCATTTCAATATTGTATCAAATATTTCCAATGTTCAAAACATATTGTTCTTAGTTTTATTTAAAAACGATCATTAAAGCATTTCCATTTTCATTTATCCAATTTTAACTGGTTTTTATTTTTTTGTAACATATAGAGTGTGACAGGAGGAAGAAGAGAGTGTTGGAGTTTCACAGAATTTTGCAATATATTTATTATAAAAATGTTTAACCAAAAAGAAGTTGAAAACCACTGATATAGATCTATGCCAAATTTCTTTAAAGTCAGACAACACCAGGTTACAGTCCAACAGGTTTATTTGAAATCTCAAGCTTTCGGTGTTAGTATCTTTCCGAGCAAGATGTTCATCCAGCTATTTTTAATGAAACTAGTAACATATAACTTTGTTGTATTAGCCACATAATGCTTTCTGGTGCTACCTTCCACTTAGCATTGTGAAACTGATCCGAGGGGGTAAGGCCAAGTTTCGCGTGACTGTTGTCATTGAGAGAGTCCATCTCATGATACCTCCAAGCACACTTCCAGCAAAGGGTACTGCTTTAAATCATGCTGTCTGTTGACCCAGACACAGAGAAGATATGTTTCACAAGACCATTCCCAATTCATTTTGATTCCAGGGCTATCAAACTTGATAATTGCATGGAGGGTTTCAGTCAGGTCGTACTGGCTGGTACCTTGGCAGGCATTTTTCATCCATGCCATTCAGAGTGATTATAGTGTTTCCAAGGAGGCATCTAACATTATGGTTAGTCATGTATTCGTATATTGTGGAGGTGCCTTCAAATTTGCCATTGTAGCTTTTATTTTCAGAGAAGGAGACTTCCCCTGACCTAATCATCTGACAGTGTAGACTAAATTCATGTCCATCTACAGATGGTAGCTACAAGTTGATCAAAAGTATTTCTCATTCATTCTGACCTACCTGATTCCTCTCCTTCAGTTTTTCTTGTTTAAACTTGTCAGATTGAGGAATTCCCATTAAGAAATTTTTGGTGCAAGTAATAGTGCTGAGGAAAAAAATTACCTTTGGCACAAAGGCTTAAGAGAACTTAAAATCGCCAAAATTACCAAATATATTTAACTTTAATATTAGTTTACGCTGGACATCCATCATACTTGAACAACAAGAAATGACAAGCAGAACAGACAAGCAGCCAAATTAGTATTCAAATGAGGCATCCACGTTGGAGGTAAACCCTTCCAATACTGCTTATCCAGTCCATTGGAAAATGATTAGGGACATTGTGGGGCAGCCCTTCTGCCTCTCCTACACCATGGCCACCTGAAGAGTTGATGTACCATTGGAACATCCACATTGCCAGTCGATCCAGACACCTGATTATAAATAAAACACTGAAATAAATGGTTAGATACTCTCAAATGTGATAACTATACATTAAATTTTGTGTTTTTCTTCTCTCTCAGGGCCGGGAGCGAGCCACGTTTGGGTCCATCAGAATCCATGTTGCAGCACAGGTGGACAAATTGCACTGGGGATGCTTGCTGGGGCTGTCACAGGCACTGTGCTGAGGTCACTGATGTGGTCCCCATGTTGGCTCTAAAATAATGTTGTTGTGAAGGCAGTAACCTTCCCATTCCTACATTTACTTCAGCTTTACAATGGTTTTTGTGTGTGTAAGCTTCTACTTACTACTTAGAAAATAATATAGACTATCGGTACAATTAGTCATGAAATAATTAGCATCGACTTTGGTTTCAAGCAAGCTTGAATGAATATCCAAAGATTTAATGCACAGAATAAATGTTACTTTTGGAACTATACTACACTTAAAGATACTACACTTAAACATAATGTATTAGTGCAGCATTTTGCAAAATATAGGTCAAAGCCAAAGTATATTCTTTACAGAAAATTTAAATTTCTTCTGTTAAGATGTAAGTAGCAGTTTCTGCTTAAACGTATGATGATCTGTGACTGTTTGGTGTAGATACGAACAATATTTTCCCAATTCATTTCCCTAATTGCCCTCCCACACACCCGTCCTCAACAAACAATCCCAATTTTTTTGATTCCTGAAGGCTATGGAACAACTTTGGCCAACAGAGGCAATGATTTTTCCACTGGCTGCCTCTGTTGCTAAGCAACTGACCTCTGCTTAGAAATTCTTCACATTGGGATGGCAATGACGGGCAGCACAGTATGTGAGCGCCAACAGATGTAAATGCATGAACTATCAGCCCACAACACATTCGATGAAGTTTCAGCGTATTACACATTGAGTCCTGTAGGAGGATGTCCAAGACTGTGGTTGAAGAAGCATTTTATTATTTGATATACAGAAAAAGTAGATTGAAGTGATTCAGATGTAAAGTGTGTTTCTACCAGTGTGAATGCAAACTTTGTTACACAAGTGGTCTGCTCCTATGATGCTGCTTGGCCTGCTGTGTTCATCCAGCCCTGCACCTTGTTGTCTCGGATTCTCCAGCATCTGCAGTTCCTACTATCTCTGGTCATTTAACATATTTGGATTTTGTCCCAAATCAACTTTAATTTTAGCTTTGTCTGTTCCTTAAAATGAAATGTCAACAACATTAATCATTCCTCTGTCCAAGCAATTTTCAAGTACTCTGACAATTAAATGATGAGGTAAAAACAAAATACTGCAGACGCTGGAAATCTGAAACAATCATAGAAAATACTGGAGAAACTCAGCAGGCCTGGCAGCATCTTTGAAGAGAGAAACAGAGTTAACGTTTCGGGTTTGGTACGATTTCTTTGTGCTAAATGTCGAAGTCTTGTCACCCTCACCCATATTTGAATAACTAATGTATGATTGGTGAGAATAGTGAAAGCAAACAGTGGGCACAGTTTTCTCCTGGCTATTACCACTGAGATTGGTGGTCACAGCGAGGAGGCTGGATAGCAGAGGTTGGTTATATGAATTGTTGCCATGCCTGTAAAGTCTTGGCCTGTTTCTTGATTCTATCGAGGACCTGTGGCAGGTCTTTGCACCATGTTTTTAAAGATGCTGCTCCTCTAGACAGCCAATAGGCATAGACACAGAATATGAGGCAGGAGAGCAGGAATATCCCTCTTACCCAAATTACATGCACCTACTCCAAACACAGCAGATTCCTGATTTAACTGGTTCTCAGCATTTTTTTCTCTTTACTACACTTACAAAATTTCTCACATGCAGTGAAATCCATCCTGTCCGTTCCAAAGAGAGAAGGTGCAAATTTCTTATTTCAAAGTGGAATAGCGATGGAAATATCCTCCATTTGACTTCATGATTTGGGAAGAAGAATATCTTCAACAATCTGTAGTGAACAGAGAAATACAATCATACTTTTGGGAGTTAAGGGAATTCCATTTACAGTCAGATATTTACTAGGGACTAGTCTCTGGCCTCAGCTTTGTGAAAATGTTAATGCTACATCTGCTGACCTTGAAACACATCAGTACACTTCCTTAAGTAAAGCTGACCATCTGCTTCTGGTTGTCCTTAATGTCCTTGCAATGTAATTTTTAAAATGGGAGATCTGGAAAACAGGCCACCAGTTCATTATCATTCATTTTACATTATGATACAAGTCAGTATTGACCCCAGTAAGCGCACTAGGAGTAAGTAAAACTCCAGAGTGAAAACTGCTCTGTACTATACAATCTTTCTTGTATTGGGAACATAACAAGGAATTTTGAACAAATGCATCTTCATTACTCCATGACTTCATGACTCCAGCATCGGCAGTTCTTACCATCTTCATTACATCTTGTTTTGTGACCATATTGTCACTTCACATTAATCACTAGAAGATAATCAGATAATATTCTACGTCTGAGTTTGTTAAATACTCTACATTCAATCAAAGCCTTTGTTTCAGGTGATGTGTATTTAATATTTCCCACAGGCTGCATATAGATGCAGATACAGCAGAGTTAGAGATCATCTAACTATGGCAAGGCAGCCAGTACACTAAGTAGGATTATATTTCTCTGAACATCCTTCATCCAAATAAATCACTGCCTATAAAAGTATCCTGACATCTAAATCTCAAAGGAATCTTCCACAAACTGCATTTGTTTTAACAATGCAGCCCAAGTTTCAGAAACAGCAGAAAGAAAATAAGAGGAGGAGGAAAGTTGACATTTTGGGTCAGGACCCCCGAAATGTCAACTTTCCTGCTCCTCTGATGCTGCCTGGCCTGCTGTGTTCCTCCAGCTCCACACTGTGTTATCTCTGACTCCAGCATCTGCAGTTCTTACTATCTCAGAAAGAATGTAAATCTTCTTCTGTATAATTGTAGTTCTTGTAACATCTTTTAAGGATAAACAACCTCAGTTTGACTTATGCTGCATTTTCTGATTTCATTAATGGATTTTTTATGGCATAACTCATATTAGTCATTAAAAAGCTTCCCTGATTGCAGATCCTAAACATACTCTGCCTGCTGTTTCTGAATAATGGTTGAAAAAGTTAAAATTTAAATTTTGCATACCTAAAGGAGAAATATACAGTACGAGTACCAATTATTTACCCTAATTTAGGCAAATTTTACATTTGTACATAATCCATAATGTGATTGGAAGGATACTTCAGCATAACTTGACATTGACAAAATGGGGGCAATACTGAATGTATTTTTGGACTGCACCCAATTAGGCTTTATATTCAATTCTCAATGCATGCTAGGCTCTGTTAATGCATGTCATGTTTACGTTTGTTTTCATAGATTTCCTGAACGCAATTCAACTATGAAACAATTATATAAGATAAAATGCATCTGATTAAAAGGATACTTTGGAACGTTACCAGAATTCCTTTTCCAGGTGCTGGCAAAGCTGCTGAGAATTTACAGAAGTTTTTGCCTATTTTCAGATTGCCAACATTTTCCAAATTTTATATCATGGGATCATCTTAATTATTTTCAGATCTGCCTGTGTTCCAGCAAATGTTCTATTTTTGATTAAATTATGTAATATTGTCCAGTGGTTTTGGAGGAAATTTAATTCTGATCACATAATACCTGAATGAAAAGTGTTTAATATTCCACCATGTAAAACTAGACAAGAATAAAAACCAAAAGAACTGCAGATGCTGTAAATCAGAAACAAAAACAGAAATTGATGGAAAAGCTCAGCAGGTCTGGCAGCATCTGTGAAGAGAAGTCAGTGTTAACATTTCAGGTCCAGTGACCCTTGTTCAGAAGTGGTTGTTCCATTTACCTCCTCCCTCCTCAATGGGCCCAAACACTCCTTCCAGATGAAGCAGCATTTTACTTGTACTTCTTTCAATCTAGTCTAATGCATTTGCTGCTCACGATGTGGTCTCCTTTACATTTGCAGGCCTGAATACAGCCTGAGTGACCCCTTTGCGGAGAACCTCCACGCCTTCCATAGGAATCACCCTTACCTTCCAGTTGCTTGTCATTTTACTGTACCACCCTGCTCCCATCATAACATTTCTGTCCTTGGCCTGCCTGCTATTTGTGTGACAACAAAGCACAATGTAAGCTGCAGGAGCATCACCTCGTTTTCTGCTTAGCCACTTTTTGGACTCTAAGACTCAGTATTGAATTCCACAACTTCAAAGCATAACCTCTGACCTCTATTATTCTTACATGTAGTTGTCAATGACTGCATGATCCTGTCCTCGATAGGCATAGACTGGCTTGGGTGAAATGAAAGCTTTGCTACATGTATGCAACAAGAATACTCCAGGGAAAACCTGTAATTTGTAAAAGCTGCTATTGCCAGTTAGCCACAGGGAAAGTGAGCGAGTTGCTGGCTCGAGCAAATAAATCATCAGTCACCTGCTTGACACATTTATACACTGCAAATTGAATAATGTTGCTAATGCTCCATGGAATATACTCAAGACAAAGGCTCATGTCTGAAATGACCTTGACAGTCACTACTGTCAGTATGACTGACTTGATGCAAGCTCATAATCAGAATACAGTGGGGCAGGCAATTGCATGGACACAAACAACCAGGAGACTGAAGAAACACTGTGAGATCCCAGGTTCGAATCCCACCATGACAGAATATAAAAATCTGGACTTAATAGCCTAATGATGACCATGAAATGATTGTTATAAAACCCCAGTCCTTACCTGGTCTGACCTGCATGTTACTCCAGTCCCACAGCAATGTTGTTGACTCTTAACTGCCCTCAGAAATGGCCTAGCAAGTCACTCAGATGTATCAAAAAGCTAAAAGGTCATAAAGGGTTGAACCAGATGGGGCACTCGACATTGAGCTTGAGCCCCATTAATTTCCTTAGCACTTTAGCATGGCTAATATTGTGCCATTGTTTAAGAAAGGCTGCAAGGAAAAGCCAGGGAACTATAGGGCAGTGAATCTGACATCAGTGATGGGTAAGTTGTTGGAAGAGGCTCTCAAAGATAGGATTTACATGCATTTGGAAAGGCAAGGATTGATTGGGGATAGTCAGCATGGCGTTGTGTGTGGGAAATCATGTCTCACAAACTTGATTGAGATTTTTGAAAAAGGTTGCCAAGAAGATAGGTGAAGACAGTGCAGTCGATGTTATCCACATGGACTTTAGCAAGGTCTTCAACAAGGTCCCGTGTGGTA